TGGGACGGGGACATTGTTGGTGGGTGCCAGAAACTGATAACGATTGATAAGGGCCGATAAGGCGCGCCAGAACGCTGAAGTCGTCGATTCCGTTTACGCAGCGTTGACACTAGAGCGTTCCTACTTACAAATTGTAGTATGTCGTAGTAGTACAAACAAAGGTACGTGCACATTATTTCGATATATATCCAGCTTACTTAATAGCAGTCGATTGCATAAATTCAATCAAGTCTTCAGCAAATGATAAGTTTCATTTCTATCACGAAAGCCCAGACTCATTAAACCGCTAATCCTTTCAGGGTTCTAAATAATGGTGAATGTAAATAAATGATAAGCCTTAGCTCCTCACTTATGTAAATAGGCATATTTCGTTTTAATTCTGAGATTGACAGTAATCCTATTCACCGCTAAATTATCTTAATTCAAGAAAAATGCTGGATGTTTACAGAGTTGTGATCAATATACCAGTTCAGCTCAGACGTTATCACGCGTATTCTCGATGAGCTTCAGTGAAACTGTGGAGGGTCTAACACAGTCAATAGTGAGATGGTTAATGGAGTATCTCATGCTGATATTCCATGGGTCCTCCAATTTCGCTAAAGCCTGCCGTGTGATGCGCGCGATAGCGGGCGAAGCAAAACTGGTTTAAACACATAATATAACAGTAGTATTTCGATCAGAACGACGAACAGTGGTTACGAAAAGAGAGCATTTATTCGCTTTCCCCGTGAAGGATTTTAAAAGCATTTCTCACTCGATTACGAGATTTACCACCTATCTGTCCATTCCTAGCGCCTGGCAAGCGATTATCAGCTGGCAGCCCATATGGGCTGCCATCGTCCCAGAAGCACATGTTGTTGGCAGCCCATATGGGCGGCCATCGGCGTGAATGTGTTAAAGATGGAAGAGTGTTGGCTGATTGACTTGTCATTGAGAAAAGGAGGAAAAAGAACCATCGTGGAGACATGAATATAGTCCTTATCTGTTCGGACGTTATGAGATTATGTGAAAAAATGTTAAAAAACTCCGAGCGCCTAGGTTGGGGGGCGAGATCGTGATACCGTAACGATGGGTGTGCATGGACGTTTGAGGTGCGCACAGTTTTAGGCCGCTGGCGCTCTTCTCACTTATTTCGAGCTGTGAACTATTTTTGATGTCACCGATAAAGCAACCTCTAATCACTAAGAACAAAGCAGGCAAAATTGATTCATGTCTGAATGAGGGTTCTTATGGAGAAGGAGAAGGAAGTTGTTGAACGATTGTACATTTTGTTAGCACAGTAACAGTAAAAGCAAAGAAAGTCTATGTAGTATTACATCAAAGAAAGTTTCCCAAAATAATTTGATACACGGGATGGGCCAAAATGTGCGTTCGCCCATGGCGCACATCACCAAGCTAATGCAAGCCTTCGTTAATAATCACCGTCTTCACAATACGACATCGTCTGCTATCACCATGCAGCTCGAGTGAGTCTACCGCAATCGATCCGGCCTCAAGCTGCTACACAATTTTCGATTCGTTAACTTATGAATTGCTTTCTAGATACACAGTAGCCCTGGTTGGGTAAGATACTTTCCTGTTATGGCGTCTCACAAAATGTCAGTAATGCCCGCGATTCGTCGGAAACCTTCGTGAGTTTGAAACGGACGCTGCCATGGTTCCAATGAAAAAATCATATAGTGATGACGGTAGGGAGCTGCTATGAGGTTTCTAATGAAAAAGAATGTGTCTTCAGTTTACAGGTTTTCAGTAGGGATTGTGGTTCAAATTTTGCAAGGGGTAAGAATTTCCCGTTTCAAATGTCGAGTGAGAATGACATTTTTAGTCCCCCTCCTGGTGCATATGTTGTCAAACAGATTATACTCTCGGAAAATTGCTTCATTTGGGCTCTACGCCCTGACATTTTGCATTCCTGCAATATTTCGTCCCTGTATGACTACTCTTTCACCCAAAACCTTGCATTACAGACAAAAGATTGCGTCAAAGAGAGCCACCCCGAAGCAGTCAACAGCTGACGCCTTCAATCTGGCTTCAGACTTCTTACGTAGTCTTTTACGATGGGGGTTAGTTTAGATATTACATAAGAGTTACTGACCTACTTGGAGCTACTCATTTGTGCGGCAATATTGTATAATAATCCTTCTATTTTATAAAGCGCTAACTTTGTGTGTCGGTTTGTGTATCTGTATGTGTGTGTATGTATGTATGTGTGTCCGTCCGCAAAATGAAGTGAGTGAGAAGGAAGCTCATGGGATAAACAAACCGCTAACAGAATCATGTAGCTCACAGGACTTTAGCTATTAGTGTTTTGCAATGGCATGATTGTGATAGCATCCCCAACGGCTATATAAACACGCACTTAGCACACTTTCGGTCATTCGACAAGGTGATGCTGTGGTAGCCGGCGAGCAGAGGGGAACGAGGGGAGAGTAAGGAGAGGAGGGAGAAGGGAAAGCTTACGCAAGGTAGGGAGGTTCCGGCGCTTGCCGGGGGACCAATCTGGTACTACAATAATTGCCGCAGATCAAATTACTATGCTAAGTACCGGGGGACCAATCTGGTACTACAATATTGCCGCACAATTGATCAAATTGCTATGCTAAGTATGGAATGCTTACCAGGGAGGCCTTTCAGAAGCCCACCCTTCTCAAAACGATTTTTTTGCTTGAATATGGTACGAGCATGGAGCACAGAATTGTAGTTTAAATTGTTGTACTGAGCGGCCCTTTGAACATCAAAAATGGATTTGCAAGTTTCACGAAGTGCTACCCGGGGCAGCCAAAAACTTGTCTCTAAGATTCACAACGACTCTTCCGTCCTTACCCGCCCCCCTCACCCCATCTTTGAGAATAAAGAAGCTTGAAAGAACAAAAGTTTAACAGTTCTGTCACTATGAAGGCTCGGACCAAGAATTTATGCATCAGGGACGGTAGCAAAGTACCCTTAACTCGCAATCAGAAGTAACGATCGGAGATTCTAAGCAAAGAATAAAGAATGGAGAGTGCGATCCAGCCCAGATCAAGCAAGAGCTTCCTACTTTAGATTTCAGACGACAAAATATCAGGAAACGAATAAATAAGAAAAAAAAGGTTGCAAAAGTACCTGAAGATTATGGGATCGCAGCTGCATTCTTTGATTCCTAACAGGTTGAGCTGGTCAGAGAAGAAAAAAGAGCACGGGATTGAAGAGGCGCAGTCACCACGTCTGACACGTATGACCCTCCAGTAAAAAGTCCTTCGGAGTACTTTTTACTCGTGGGTCAACGTGGCGTCTGCGCCTCCTCGACCTCACACTATTTCTTTTCTCTGCCTAATTACGAATTAGGTTTACAAGTTAACTCTCTAACTACTAATTAAAATGGTTTTTTTGGTTATGATCTAACTGTAGGTTAAACAAGACTTAATGTGTTGAGAAGCGCTCTGAACCTGTTATCTAAACTGACTTTGGTCTGAGCTAATCTCGACACGTTAAGTCTGAATTAATGAAGGTTTGCTACCGTCCCAGATTAAAAGTGGAACGTGGCCTAACGTAAGAGCCACATACATATCCATCCACTGCACACTCACCTGAACAACGATTATTTCATTGTTCCAAGGCTTAAATATCATAAACAGAGATATATGGTTGAGCGCTAGAGATGGATTGAAAGAAGTTTGTAAAGAAGATAGCGAGTTAGAGGCCGGTGCGAAGTTTTCTATTGATGATGCGAAAGAAACGACAGACGGAGCCATACACAGACAATATAAGCATAAGGTTGGGGGTACAGTAATCAATAGAAGCGTGTACTTGATGGCAACTTTGGGCTCCTTCATTTTATTTAATAAGATGTCTGTCCCCTTTAAAATTCATGCATATTAACTCACCCACAACTTCAGCAGCTTGAGACTCCGTCGTTGTTGGCCGGTAAGAAAGGAATAATAAAAAAAATGCCCATTTCTTAGTGAAAAATATTCGAAAAACCAGAGGAGGCTGCTATGTGTTTAAATTCCCGCCTGACATCTGTCACAAGTGCTGGCGACGAAATTGCTTCCACTTTGTTCTCGGACTGCCGTCACTGAAAACACTTTTTCGACCTTTAGCTTATTGCATCACACACATCTCACCCTCTTCTGCATCCTATTCTATCGATCGTTCTGTCTCTACTCTCCAAAATCGCACGCTTTAACCCGATTCTTTCAATGCGTCGCCTGATACGTAGTGGCCCTGAGGCGTACTTCTTTCGATGCTCTGTCTTTTGACAAGCGCGACCTACCTTCCACCGTCCATCGAGTGTGGTTTTCGTAAGCTTGTCTCTCCTTAACCTAAATTTTCTTGTGTGAAACTTTGCATGTCGTATCTAATGATTGAAAGAGTTTTCCGGAAAGGATTTCTAAGCTGTGAAAGCAGCAAAAACGTTGCTGATGTAGGCCCGCAGCCTCACGGAAAGGCTTTGCATCGCGTAAATTAATCGTGCCTTTGAAGCCCTTGCAACAAATTTTCACCCCTCTTTTCAAGTATTCGGGAAGAACTCCAGGAAAAAATCTCCCTTACCCCTTCACAAGTAAGGGTGAAGGGTAAAGTTTCTGCCGTTGATCAATCCCGTCTTGGGATGCGGCACGGTATTCTTCTTCCATTTGTACATTCGTAGTGGCGTTTTGAATGGTCAGTGCTTTTCATCCTCCCAGACAAATATAGTACCAGTTGACCGACCCCGGGGATGGAAGGCTTGGTTGGCCTGAGCAAAGCACGACCCAGGATTCGATCCCCGGACCGCGGCGTGCGTGTAAGCGTGCCACTTGCCACCACACCATCTACGCTTCCCTTTACAAGTACTCCCACCTGAAATGCTATGAGCGCTTTGGAAAACTTCATAACACAACTTAATCGTAAAATGCTGAGACCCTGCAGATTCGATCTGGGGGTGCTGCTTCAACGATAATTCTCCATTCCGACCTGATGACTCACTCACTCAGGATTTCTGTATTCAGGCCGCCGGTTATGGCAATGGGAAGCTGATTATCATGTCGGATGGAACAAGTTCAGATTGCGGTTACGGTGCAAATAGAATAAGTGAATTCCAAATTTCCAGTAATGTGAGTTTCCGACTAGTTTTCCGTCGTCTTATCCTTTTATCTCACCTGCCTAATTAGGCTTATTTTATGCGGGAAATATTGCTCTGACTCGATGGAATCTAGGAAAGTGAATGACCTTTCGAAAAAATACGTATTTACAGTGAATTGGCTCAGTAGAACGATAAAGGATAAAGCATGATCAATCCATTTTTGAGACGCGGCACACATTCTACTCCCATCTGTATATTTTCGCTGACTCCCATCTGTATATTCGTAGTGGCGCGGCGATATGACGAGTGGCCTCTTGCGGGGGCCAGCCGATGTACAAGTCAGTGTTTTTATCCTCCCAGACAAGTCTGGTACCAATTAACCGACCCCGGAGGGATGGAAGGCTTGGTTGGCCCGGGCGACTCACGACCCAGGATTTGATCCCTGGACCGCTCGCGTGGTAAGCATGCCACTTGCCAATACACCCCCGTGAAATTATTATAATCGAAATTCGAACGAACTTCTCATTCAATGAAAAGGGCGTGTTTTATAGCTGCGAAGCTTTGGAGTTACCATCGTCTACATACCTACTGGTCCCATTGCTTCGAAAGAGAACATGCTACGCATTGTTGGAGGAGCCACACAGCGAATTGTCGAAGTTAAAGATTTCAGTGTGAGTTTTCCATTAACAGCTATTATTTCTAATTGATAGGGTTACAAAGTCACCCCATAGGTCGAGTAGGGCAGGGTCAACCGTTACGTTGGACCGATATTGGAGCGACGTTGGACCGATGTTGACCGCTCTCCGCGCCGGCATTCACTCTCGCCACCCGCGAGCCGTCTGTGTCTCCGTGCGTACGGACTTTGTCCAACGGACGGTTGAACCTGGTTAGTAGCGAGAAATCTCTACATATGTTGCGTCGAGGCAAGCACACCCTCTATCGATTTCATTTGAAAAGGATAAAAGGATAAAGCATTTGCCGTTGATCAATCCCTTTTTGGGATGCGGCACGCATTCTACTTCCATTTGTACATTCGCAGTGGCGTTTTGAATGCGATGTGGCCTATACAATGACTTGCGGGGGCCAGCCGATGTACAAGTCAGTGTTTTTATCCTCCCAGACAAGTCTGGTACCAATTAACCGACCCCGGAGGGATGGAAGGCTTGGTTGGCCCGGGCGACTCACGACCCAGGATTTGATCCCCGGACCGCTCGCGTGGTAAGCGCGCCACTTGTCACTACACCACTTCCGCCCTTACCTTGTCCTTTACCTTGAGTATCAGACCCTTTTAGCTCATCGGGCTCCGAAGAGGAGCCAAATTAACGATCCCACCTTCTTACGGTCCCTCCCGTTCGAACACTGCAAAAAGATTTGGTTCTGCTTCGAAGGCAATAGCAGAATTGCATGGCAATGACTATTGCGATCCAAGAATGCTAAACTTTTGTTTGCTTGTAATGATGACTACACAATACATCATTTTTTAAAGCTATTTCAACAATCATTGCACCCAATACATTCCTTGACTTCAAAATGTGTTGATGATAATTTTCTATTCAGACAGCCGATTCGGGAGTTGTCACAGAAATCGTCAATAAGCTCGAGCATCCAGCGCGTGGAAAACCTCAAGTTGTTGTACCACCACCATCAGGAGTAACACCAGGACCACCTCAAAAACCACAAACAGCAGCACCACCTGAGCAGGGAACAACAAAGGCAGCAGATCAAGCACCACAAACAAATGTACCAGCAGCAACCCAAGGACCAAGTTTACAAACGTATTTTGGACCAGATGTATCAGTATATGAAGTAACAATGCACCCACCAGGACCAGGTGAACAAGCAACTCCAGAATCAGGGAGCTTGCCACCAGATGGAAGGGTACCTCCAGGATCAGGGCTATCGCCAGGAACAGGGTCACCAGATGAAGAGGTACCTCCAGATACGGGGGCACCATCAATAACAGAGTCACCAGAAGTAGTAGCACCTCCAGGACCAGGGCCATCAGGACCACCAGGACCAGGACCAGTGCTGTCACCAACAGAAGAACCAGGACCAGGGCCATCATCCACACCAGGACCAGGACCATTACCAACAGAAGAACCAGGACCAGGGCCATTACCAACAGAAGAACCAGGACCAGGACCATCACCACCACAGGACAGCGGACCAGGGCCATCCACCACCAGTACCAGGACCAGGGCCATTACCAACAGAAGAACCAGGACCAGGGCCATCACCCTCACCAGGACCAGGGCCATTACCAACAGAAGAACCAGGACCAGGGCCATTACCAACAGAAGAACCAGGACCAGGGCCATCACCACCACCAGGACCAGGACCAAGGCCATCACCACCAGCAGGACCAGCCGGGAGTGCACCGGTAGGATTCTGACAGATAATTAAACCATTCTGCCATTGAACCTTGCGATGTTGACTTGCTATAAGTAGATATTTGAAGCCTTGCTACAGTATTGCTATAAGTTGTGTCGTTATTTCATATGGATATATCCTCCAGAACTACATTTCATATCCATGTCCATATCAGTGAAAGGAATTCATCTGCTTGAAAAAAAAACTATATGCTCCCTTTTAAACCCATACCTTAGATTAAATTTCAGACAAGCAAGACATGAACTCCGGTCCATCCCAATTATTATTCTGATAACTTATTTGAAAGATGATAATTTCTATTGAAAAAATTAATCAGTGAGGTAAGCCATCCCCCTCTCGGTAGAGACCTACAGGGTGGCGAAAAACTACGCGCCTTGAAAAAGGTCGAAACAGTGTTTTTCGCCCACAGTAATTTGAAAAATCAATCTCATCAAACTCCGAGATATTTCCTAATCGCAAGGAGGTTCCGGAATGGCCCCTTTTCAGTTTTAATACAGGCCTCAGTCGTCTAACCGATGGTGCTTCGGAGGTACATATTCAACGCATAATTTACTCCAAATCTTGGGCATTTCTTCTGAATGTCATCAAACTTTTCGTATTATGATTCCTCAGTAGCTCTTCAAAAAAGCCGCAAGCAGAATTCTAATTGATTTGAATTCGGAGTGTAAGAGGGCCACAAATTCATAGCCAAAAAGGCCATAAATCCATTACCGAAAATGTCCATACTGGACTCGAAGAAGTGAATCGTTGTATCGCCCATTGACCAGAACCAATTCCTGTAGAAGGATAAAAGTGTCGCGATTTTGCTTTAGGCGGACCACAGCTTCCCTGAGGATTTCTTGTTTTTTGAACCTTCTCATTAAGTTTCACGCAGCTCGCGACAAAAACTGTGGAGGCTTCTCAAGCACTGAAAGCCATCAAATTTCAAGAGATTTTCTATAGGGTTTTTCTGAATGTTCCAGAGAGCTAGGCTGAAAAAAGCGATTCTCAGAGTTCTCAGCCGTTCAGAAGCTGGCCCCTTTTTGCGAAACTGGGCACCCGAAGAACCCCCCACTTTAGAAAATTCCCTTAACTTCTCACATTTCCCTTACGATCCTACTTTTTCTTAACGACTGACATTGTTAGTATGATAGACAATAATCTCTTATTCCATGCTTGATTTTTGCTGTTATTTGAACAGAGCCTTGGGATTCCTGAGAAGTTTGGCCCTTATTCAAGCTCCGGTGATTTTTGTCATTTCCCTTCTAGTAACTCAATTTTCTCAACCGTCGAGTGTTGGTAATCTGCTCTTTTTATTTTACGGATTCAGTTGAAACATGGTCTTCCGGCGTTTCATTGACTAGCATTTTTTGGGCGGCTCTTGGAGAAATCTTGAAAAAAATTCGGGCAGCTTTTTGCTTGCCGGGTAATCGCGTTCAATTTGCAATTTGCGCAGATCCCTGCTAGAAATTGAAAACCAAATGTCTTCTTTCACAAATCTTAGCTACCTATTCGCAACGTTTGATCAAGCGAAATATAGTGAGAGCAAAAAAGAACTGACGTTCCGTAGAGAAACAGTTCCTTTTGAACGATGTATTTATGAAGGAATTATATGGAGTTCCATTGAAGAAATTCTACCGCAAAGTGAAGTATTTCTTCATCATTCGCTCACGAGAGAACTTAGAGATCGGGAAAAAAGCGAGTGAAGCGCGGTGAAAGAGGAGTGCTCGAATGTGATTTATGAATGTTAAATGCGCCAAGACGGGCGGGCTTCCTCACAAAACCAGTGACTGGTTCCCGAAGTAGTCCAGGACGTAGGCAAAAGATGAGAGGGGAATACGGGAAGGGCTAGTTGTGGGCAGGCGGGATTCGATAATGCCGGTTCCAGTGTCAAAGAGCAATGTTGTGCACGCAATAGCGTGGGGTACGTAGGGGAAGCGTTAATGCTGGCTTCCACGTGAATCGGCGAACTCTTAGGTGGGATA